GACGTACGACGTACGACGTACGACGTACGACGTACGACGTACGACGTGGAACAGACCCACAACAACCATGCTCAAAACGGCCTGATTCGGGTTCTCTGACCTCAGAAACGTCCAGAAAACATGTTTTTGAGATGTCGTAAATTTTGACTCATTACAATACTTTCCCCTTTCACACTATGTGTGTGCGGAAAAGTAACATATATATAGCGACCTCGTTTTTTGAATAATGATCAATTTATAAAAAAATCACGTTTTTCTCTCTATGCAATATAGTAAAAAAAGGAAAAATGTAAATTTCTTGCATATTTTGAGAATAAGCTAATTTTGTCTTATAAAAAACGTATAAATGAATTTATAACGTTTGTCGGCACTATTTCCAACGTTAATTGATACCAAATACATTGCCAAACATTAAAAGCGAAATATTCCAATCAATTTAAAGTGGTGGTAGGAATAAAAGTATGAAAAAAGCTGCTGTTTTTAATTTTAAATATCAGCAATTTTACTGAAATTTGTTTGAAGAAAAATTCTCAGCCGAACAAAAAAAAAAGATTCGAAATTTAATGGGATGCACAAAAAATGTGTCTGCAAAATGTTGACCTGCGATAGTCGCGCGTCGTCGATTACTCTGGAATGAGTAGGTTAAATGTACGTCGCATAAATTTATGAATGGTGAGCGGTTGTTGTGCGACGGAAATGAATGTTTTTGATGCCCTCTTAATTTCTAAATTCGGGTTCTTTTCAAACTGTTGTTGACTGCTGCTGTTGCTCAAACAACATGGTGCTTCTCTTCCGATATTTTTTTCTCTCCTTCTTTCATTGTCAATTTCATTTTTAGTGTCTTGCGCCCATTACGGTCGTTTTGGTAAGCTAAGTTGCATAAATGAATCTTTTTTTAATTACAGGTGTTATGTAAATTGCGAATATGCAAAATATCGTGTTTTTTTGTAATTTTTTGAACCGGATTTCTCTGTACGATTGTATTTTGACTATCTGATAAATCACTTTCACAGATGCGAGAGAGACACACTCGATGTGAAAAGTGTGAGAAAAAGAAGCAAAAAATGAAAAAGACAGGAAGTAAATCCATTACGAATACACATAATCATATTAAGCAGCTGTTCATTTTGGCGTGATGTCGCACAGGCACACTCACACACACACACACACACACACACACACACAGAGAGAGAGAGAGAGAGAGAGAGAGAGAGAGAGACACTTTGTGTGGAAGCGCGTCTCGATTTTTGTCAACCATCTGTGCAAAAATATGAAACCGTTGTCACTAAAACAATTTCACATTTTCATGGTTGTTTACACAGTTTGTGTGTGCTTTTGTTTATAACTTTTTCCCGGTTCATTTTTTTTAAATGTGTCGAATGCCCTACGATTCAAAGTGCTCAAGTGAATGTGCCGAGCACCAAAAGCCGAAAAATGAACAGAATTTAACGTATAGTATACGCACAGTACACATTATACTTTGGGGGAGATTGAAAAATCCAAACGGGTGAGATCAGATCTATAAATTAAATTTGCACCAACAAAATATTGTCGACAAATTCAAATATCTGCGGCCATGGTAAAAACCCGAATTTCGTGGCCGTTTTTGTTTACCTCTTTATCTTTTGGAAAAACAATTAATTCAGTGGAGAAGAAGAACCGACAACGCACAGAGCTTGACTGCACACGAATTTGAATCACAACAATAACCGATATTAACAACAACATCACAATCCGAAAAGTATACACAGCGTCCATCGAAGAGAAGGGCAAATATAGTATATTACACACACATTATAATTATAATGGTATATCAAGGGAATACAGTGTTTATATTTGAATACATAACTGTCTTTTCAAAATAAATGGAAAATATTGCGTCAAAATAGGGAACTCAAACATTTACCAAAAATTCCCAAATGAATATTTCGAAATCAAACGGCCGTCCCGTTTCTATAATTCGGCGTCTCAAACGAAAATTGTTTTGAAAACAATGTTAAAGATTTCACAAGCAGAAAAATAGCCAACGGCCGCTATTCAGATGACTGAGCGTAACATTTAATTATGCCAAAAACAATTGACGAATTCCATTTCCGTTTTCCGAAACGGAAACAGACAACTTTTCACAACTTTCACATCGAAAATATACTTTGATGAATTTTCATTGGGCTAAATCTAATTAGTCATATTGTAATTGTCAGCCCGAACACCGGTGGCTCAGAAAGCATCCGAAAATCAATTAAATTAAATCGTTCGTCTTAAACAAGCGTAAATATGTTTTCTATATAATGAAACAAATTGGAAATCGATTGATGAAATTTTGTGGTTTCACTTCAAAATCGAATTGAGCGTGGGGTTTTTTGGTTGGAAACTCTTTTTTCTCCATGGCCGATTGATTTGCGGTTTTTAGTTGAAGAAGTTTCTGAAGAAGTTGATGCAACTTACGTGCTTGCAATCGAATGAAAATCTGTATGCATTTGCAGAACAACAATTGAAAAATTCTGTTCTCAACGCCAACGACATCATTTGTATCGACGGCACAAACTTCACCAAATGATAATGATGTGGTGGAATGAAGAAAAAGCTACGGAGCAAATGAGATGAAGAAAGAAGCTGAAGAAAAATAAAACACGAAGTGATTTCAAAAAGAGAAAATTTTTCTACTCCTTTGTCGAATGAAGTCGAAATGCAGAGCCACTTTTCTCATAAAAATGCATATGCAAAAGAGAGCGCGCAACCATGCGAGAGTAGAGGGGGTGTAGAAAGAGACGAAATGGCCCGAAGAAATGTGTAACTTTGCATAAGTACATTTATTTGAAACGAGCGGAAACCGTAAACGAAGTGCAAAGTAAAGAAAACGCAAAAGCGTAGACAACTTTTCTCTTGTCGTCAGTGGTCGCTGCTAATACCGTTGCCATTCACTCTTGTTTGCTTATTTTTCCCTTTGATCCACTCATTCGTCGTCGTCTTTCATAGTTTTTGCATCGCATCCCCATCTTACTTGTTACCATGTCATATTTACTAGTGATTCTGTCATTTGTATGTGTTTTTTATCGCCTCTGACTATTTCTTTCTTCTATTGTTGGTGAGGTGTTATTTTTTCGCTGAATTCGAATAGCATGCCATGTCATTATGACCGGTGCCACAACTCCGACGATTCGGTTCGCATGCTTCAGTATAACTCATAATTGACATTCTCAAAATCAATGTGAGCGCGAGTGAGAGAGGAAAAGAAGAAGCGAAAACCTCACACTTTTTATCATTTCACAAAACTTTCGTGCACTCCATAAAAGTGTAATATCATTTGGTCCGTATCTTGATCGTGTCTTGTTTCGCTTCCGCAACGGTCTTTGATTTTGCCTTTCTCCCACTATTCTCTTTTCTAAAAGCGAAGAAACGCAGTGGCAAAAATGATCATCTGAATTCTGAAACTTTTTACATTGCATTCATGGTCTCATACTAATGGATTTGTTCGTTTTTTTTTTTGATAAAAAAACATTTACATAAATTACAAACGTACCGTTTGCATTCGATTTCTCACTTCGAAGGATTTACAAATTTCAAGTTCTTTTTGTTTTTTCATTTTGAAAGTTTTTCCATCGGTTTAAATTAAATTCTTCTTCTTCTTTCGTTGATTTAGATTTCAATTTGAAACAAAAAAAAACTTAAATTTTTGAATACCAAATCAATTTGGACGAATTGAAAGATTGATTATTATGAAACATAATAAATCCTTTGAAACATCGTATTGATATTAATGTCTTAAATGTCAAACATTGAGAAAGCCAATATTCAGTTGATGATTTTGTCGATTCGTGTGTGATTTGGTGACATGCTCGAAGGCATGCAAAATCAATTAGGTTTCATCATCGACGCCAAACAGCTTATTTTATTAAACGAAATGTAAGCGCATCAAACGAATTGCGTTCAATATAGTTCAAATGGCTTGTTCTATTTTCCGCTTTTCATCTCTCTCTGCTCTCTTCGATTCGTGCTCTCTCGCTATTTCATTTAATATCAGTCATGTTCATATGCGGTTATAGCAATCAAGTCACTCGGTCACACAGACACACATGCATAAGCACATTTACGCTGCCATATTAGCGCGAGCACATGACAACCAAACAATTTCATCTCATTAATAAACAATCTTATAAAACTAGTCATTTGTCTGATGAAATAAATCTAATTATTTCCACACTGAATCCATAGATTTATAGATATTGAGCACTTTAATATAGAGAACATGCAGGATACGCAATATTTCTCTCTCTCTCTCTCTACATCTACCTCTGTCTCTACCTATTTTTAAGTATAAATTATATGGTATATGATATATGGTATACAAGATGGTCTTTCAGCATGAATGTCTTTCAATCCTTGTTTAATGCTTATTTTGCTTGAACAAATTAATATTCGCCCATTATTATCAGAAAATCATGAGTTTATTCAGTCACTCAGCACAAGACACATGCACATAACCACCGACATTCAAACCAAAATATAGAGATAAACACAAAATACCGAGACATACGATGATGTTATTACGAAGGATACACGACAACTTACACAAATAATTACATAAATAATCCTTCATGTTCGAATTATTTCGGTTGTACGGTTCCCAATTTTATGTGGCCGAATTGCGTGTAATTTATGATTTTCGTCGTTGGTGTGCGCGCGTGTGTGTGTGTGGGCGTTTAAACCACTGAAATAAGTTTTGAGCTTGTGGCAATGTGTGTATGTGACATTTTGGGCTGTCTTAAATATTTGATTTGTATTTGAATAGATTGTGATGCCATTCGATCACTGAACGCGTCCATTCATTTGATCCAATCCCATCGAAAATTGTCGCAAATTCATATCAACACAAACCAAATTAATAAATGTCTGAATAGTCGCAAATTTCAAATTAAATATGTATAATATTTTTGAATGTTACATTGTTTATGAAGTTTCATTCAATTCAGCTCGAAATCATTTTGAATAAATAATCACATAGAACAATAGACTGAACAAACACGACATTCAGTTCCTAAATCAAGAAAGCACCAAAATTGTTCAGCAGATAACATAAACAACCTTTTGTATTGAGGAAATCAAAGGCGTTTACGCGCTTAACAAACACAAGGCTTAGATTATTACATGAACATATTTTGATATCATTAGCTCTTTCTCTCTTTAGGATTTCTCCAACAATTTATCATATAATTTAAGCATCAGTCACCAATTCATTTTCTGAACTCAAAAAAATGATTTTTTTTTTTCTATTTTCAGATTGTGCCAACACAACAATTATCGAAATTATCAAATTTATCGTATTTATCGATGAGTGGCAATAGTTTCATATCCATACCACCGGTGGCTCTATTAAATCTATTCCACTTGCGTGAATTGCATCTGGATAAATTGGATCGGCTGCTGAAAATTGATTCGAGGTAAGTGAAAACATTATGTTTATATTTTATTTTATATCTCCAAGCGAATTTCCATGGGAGAAAATTGGAAAATTTGTGACTTTTACACCCCCAACATATGTCAATGTCGTTCAATTTAAAATATAATTGAGTTAGATGTTGTTGTTATATTGTTCGGAGAATAATGAAACCAGACATTGTGAACACATAAAATTAAGCAGCCATATGATACCCGAACCATTTTCGATGTTGAATGCCATAGAAAAATTTAACATTCCATGGAAAGTGGTAGTGATCGTGTTCGCTAATTGATACGGTGAATAGATTGTTCGTCGATAGATACGTTGAATAACATAGCAATTGAAATTGCTTGCGATTCGAATACAAAATTGTTCGTTGCTTTGCGATACGACTCACAGTTTTGTATTGTACGTTTACATAATTTGAATTGGAATCCCACCGGTTTCAAGTATAATATGCCACAGAATCACAAAATGAAATGCAAATGGAACAACAAAGTCATTCAAGAGCTTAATCAACCAGTACATTGTGTTCAACAACAGCTAACAACTGTGATTTCAGCTCCACATGCAAAAATATGATGAAAAATTGAGTTTGATGGAATGAAAGGAGAAAATAAACGAACCAAAACGGAAAAATTCGTTCCATTAATTTTGGTTATCCAATTGTGTAGTTGTATGAGTGTCGAGTGTGCACGGTTGGTGTCCAACTTGCCAAGATAGAGTAAAGGAAGCACATCATACACATCATCACCACCACTACCACAGTGATGAATTCAAATATAAATCAAAATTGTGAAATTATGATTTTATATACTTCATCAGAAAATTCACATCAAACAATTATTCCATTGCCGGTTTTTTGAGACTCAGAACGTACGCTTACATGCAAGAAATCTTGTTCGTTCGCCTGCTCCTTCTCTTGTTCTAATTTTTAATTGTATTTCGCTTCATTATTATTATCACTGTCGTCAACTTTGCCATTGCCATATATTGCCATAATGGTATGCTGTCTTGTTCTTCATTCAACACGGCTGTTGATTTTCTGCACATGTATTTTCAATGTTTGCACACAACAATACGTCGGTTTTGCAAATTATTCATATTTTCGTAGCTAATATGGAAAAATGTGTAATTTCGTATCATATGAATGTGTTGTAGCATTTATTTGTTCATTCAAACAATATACACACGGCCAACACATTTTCCATCTTTCATTCGCTTGCATTCAATGTGCTCTTCTTCCGTAATGATAATTGCAAAAATAATAATTGTCATCATCACCATCATCGCTCTTATAATTAATAGTTGCTTTGTGTGTGTGCGTGTGCGTATTTGTGTTTGTGCAACGATCGAAATAAAAGACTTGATGTGCCAAATTGAGTTTTCAGTTGCACAAACAAAAGTTTCGCACTTTTTGTTGCCGGGTGTTAAAATTAAAAAAAAAATGCAAATGTTGAAAACAGGTATGAAAAAAGTGCATAATAATTAAAAACACCCCAACACTCCGAAAATTGTCGATAAAAATTCGTTTTGAATGTCGTTTCAACGCAAAACTTAATCATATGTGACAAAGTAATGTCAAAATGCTAACTCGTTTTTGACTTGAAACTACACTTTAATGAGTTTTACTTTGGGTAAAAATGTCAATAAAAACGGAATTTCGAGAGTAATTTTTTACACTCTTCAAACTTATATTATATACTTATTATTTTTTTGTTCATTCGCAAGATTTATTTTGTAGTCGCTTTTTGTCTTAACATCAGTGTGTGGCTGTCTCAAGTGACATGATCTTTATGCAATGTATTCAGCAGACATAAAATCCCTACTACAGTGAAATGAATATTGCACTGGTGTGCGGTTGGGTGAGGTAAGAGTATATTTAATATTTGGCCTTGCGGCGACAGATCTACCAGACATCATTTCTTCGTGGGTTCGCGTTCGAAAGAGTTGCCAGTGCACTCTCTATGCATAAACACTTGATTTTATCATATGAAATGATGTAGAATGTACAATTGTGCACACATGCACATACACACATACATATTACAATTCTGACAATTTCTTTCCGTTAAATAAACGAGTATGCAATGCAAATTTTTCGGTTAGTACATTTGTTGATTTTACAAATTTACCAAAGATATTTTACACAGAGTACTATGAAGACGATCAAATACGGTGCTGATTTCCGGAACGTTCACTAAAATTCCATTCTCTAACTCTATCATTCGTTTTTCTACACCCTCCCGCCTCCCCTCTCTCGCTCTCTCACACCTTCTCTTTGGTGTGTTTTCCCTTTCGCCGTCTAGTTCGCCCGATGTTTGCATTTGAAGTTAGATGAAAGAATTTTCACCGTGATTTCATCATATCACATTTGAAATCATATTTGCGTGCGCGTTTTCCGTATACATATATCGTGCGACAAAATTGCGAGCACGTGTGTGTATGTGCATGAGTGAAAAGTAACTTTTGTGAATAGCAGCACAAATACGAAGACATAGAAAGGCGGCAAGTTTTTTTTTCAGTTAAAAATCATTTGGCATACGGAGCATATGCTACAAAATTGTAAATATGCCAGACTTCTTCATTTTATAAATCGTAGTCATTTCGTTCTCTTTTCTCTCTCTGTGTGTGTGTCACCGCTGAAAAGCTTCTGGCGTAATTAAACTGTTTTTCGGGTGAAACGTTATTTACTGTTTATTGTATGTACTTATTTTTTTCATATCTGTGTCTTTGAGAGCGAGAGAGAGAGAGAGAGAGAAAGAAAGAGCGAATGCATTCGGTGGTAAACAAATATCCATCTTTAATTTGTCTTTGCCTTTCTAACGTTTTACCTAAACTCAACCTATTTATATAATACACATGTAACATGTTAGAAGAGCGTGTATGCATAATTATTTCCAGTTGATGTAAACTAAGAGCTTTGTTTGCGACTTTTCACAGTGAAAATCACCGAGCAAACAACGATGATAATACACGAAATGAGAAAAAAAGGAAACACACGAATTGTATACACATGCAAACAAACAAATGAACAGAGAAAAATTAATGCGAAACGATCTGGCAGCACAAAACACATTTTCGATGAAAATACAACAGAAGCGAAACATCATTAAAATAATTAATTCGTTTATTTGCACAAATTCGAATAGATTCATTTAATATTTCTGGATGTATTTCGTCGTTATTGTCGTCTTCATCTCGACAACTCTCATTCTCTCTATTTCAATGCTTTGAAACTGCATTCCGTACACACAATTCACATGTAAACACCAGAATCATGCCAAATCTTTCAAAAATTTCGGTTTTATCTTGTCTTATCTTCACTTTTATCTAAACATTCATATACACTCGATGCGGTTTATGTTATAGTCTTTTTGCTTTGCTTTGTGCTTTGATTGAACGCAAATATGAAACACAAAGATGCGGAACACTCAGGCATATATGTATACATTCCCTTTTGTATTTCAATGGGATTTACATTTGCGCCAGATGCTCGCCACCAAATTAAAAATGGATTAATTTTCACTTCGCAACGCGTTCCGCGATTAGACAAAGACTTCGCAGATGATTTGCTAGCAGTGATATCTTTTAATACATATTTGAAATTAAAGACTATTTTAACTTTTCATTTCATCTTTGTTAGAATTACGTTAAAGAACAGAGTATATACCACTTGTATTTCCCGTTATGTTTTTATAAGATTTCCTGAATCTTATGAAAGGGTGAGGGGTAAAAGTTTCAAACTAATATTTATCTATTTAAGATATAAAAAAAGATGAATAAATTGTTCTTAACTGAACTGAAAGTTTTGCGTCACTTCTTCACATATTAAATGGTCAGGATTGTCTTTTTCGAAGAAACGCGTTTTCTCCCCCCTAAAATTGTCAACTCTCGCAATTAGTTTGACTTTTCAATCGACATTTTCCAGTCCCCAGAATTTAAAGAATCTTTTGTAAAGTCCAAAATCAAAAGCAAATTTATTTCAAAATTTATTTCACCATGGAAATTGGAATCGTTTATATGGAAAATCGATGTAAGACATTTGGTTGATTTTGATTTGAAACATAATTTGGACTCAATTCCAATTGTTATTCGTTTCAATTGAACTTACGAATGCTCAGCATGAAGTGTTCAACATTCAAATGTGTTGAAAAAGCTGTTTATTGTGGCATTATTGCAATGTGTATCCTAAAAAAAACGGATCATTTATATGTTTCATATATAATAATGCTGATGTATTCGATGTTTGACTTTATTACGAAGATATTTACGTTGTTGGAAACCAATGTCATATGACATCACCCTACCCATCCCATATGCCACCAATAACGATGGAATCAAACATGTTTTGTTACATTTAGTGACACAACTTTTTCTTTGAACTGAAGAGAATCATCTACGCTTTTCATCGACTTTCGTAAAGTATTTGCAAAGAAAGTTGTTTACAACGCAATAATAGGCTTGAATTTTTGCAAAAGAGAAATAGAAGTCTTTGTTTGATCTTGCTCATCATATAATTGCACTCATCACAACGATGCGATAACTTTGAAAAAAAAATTACCTCTCCACTTTTCATGTGCAAATTATACATTGTAACATATTTTGTGTTTTTCACATTTGGCCCGTTCGGTGCTTAGTGATTCGAAACAAATTTATTTATTCGTGTTTTCTTTGTTATTATTCGCATCTGTTGGCGTTTCTGATATCTATTCTACCTCGAAATTTTTTATGCGATACACAATTAAATGAAAATATGTTGAATGTCACGATTTCAATTTGCCATAAAATCGACGAAATTTTGATTGGGAACATCGTAAACTAACTTATTGCTGTCAAAATGATGACAATATTGGGTGCGCGCTCGCATGCCGTAAAGAAAATATGCGTAACAAGAAATGCAAATGTTATGAGAATGAAAATGACTTTGGAACTTCTTCTTTCAACAGAGAGAGAGGGGAGAGAGAGAGACTGAAGTAGGACAAAGAATGAGGAAGGTGC